TTTTTTTTTTTTTTTTTTTTTTTTTTTGTCTTCACCCCCCTCCGGCAGGGAGCGCAGGGTAAAGTCCATGCGTGTTATAAAATGATCCGGTGTGTGGAGCAGCCTCAGCTCGAACAAATTGTCTTTCACCACAGCACAAAAAAGCCGCCATCAGCTGCAAATTGTGCGCATAAGAAACAAATATAAACAGTAAAAAAAAATAAAAAAATAGGAGCATTTAACGAAACCAACACCGTGTTTACCACGCAGTCAGTTGACAGAGGAAACTACAACATGAATTTGCCAACGTACCCTCCTGTCAGACAGGCATCCAGAGGAGGACCATGGATGGTGCGCACCGTGGGGAGTTCAGTCCTGCTGCCGCCGCTCTGTGTTTATTTCCCGGTTAGAAGGAGAGGGAGTGGGTCGGTGTGCTGCCGGTGTAACGCCTAATGAGGGAGGGAGGAGGAGAGAGAGAGGGAGGGACGCTGTCAGATGCTTGGAGGCAAAGAAGGGGAGACTTACACACACATACGGGAGTGTGTGCGTGAGTATGCGTGTGCGTGTGTTTGTGTGTATGGAGATAAACAGCGCTCGTGCCTTTGCTGCACAAACCTCCGTCTCCGTCAGCAAGTTTTCAAATGTAAATAAAAAAATAAGCCAACAAGGTGACATAATCTCTTGTAATGATGTGTTGCAGTTATGCGTTTTTGCGTAGAATGACTGACCGCCATACGTGCATGATTTGCACCTTTAAGCCCACCTGGAATGGTTGCGGACAGTAAAACATGTTTCCTTCTTCGGTGAATGAAATATTTCAACCCTCCAGCAGCTGCTTCAGGAGGAGCTGTTGTTTCGCGCCGTGTCGTCAGGAATGCTCGGTCCCCCTCTGATTTCATCAACTGCAGCCAGCCAACACACGCACACACACACACACACACACACGATTTATTAACACCCGCTCCTGTAAACACGAGTGACGGGAGCTCGTCAGTCAGGTATCACTCCTCCATTGTGCGCCCCTAAATTAACAAGGTATTATTTTGAGAGGCGAGGTTGGTTTGATAGAATTAATCAGTGAGAGATTGCTGCTGCTGCTGAAGATGATGATGATGATTTGATTAATCTTTCTCAGTTTCCTCAGGGAAGTGGGGGCGCATTCAGCAGGATAACAGAATTAAAGGAACATTGCTCCGGGTTTCAGCAAACTATGTTAGCATGCAGGTCGGAGCAATTTTGTTAGCCGTGCAGTAGAACTACTCTACAGGTGGAGTTTGGTGGCTAAATGGTAGACCTCAAACACTTTGCATTGTTGTTATTTAGAAAAGGATTTACACAGCAGGAAAATACAACCCAGATTGGATCTTTTTTTTTTTTTTTTTGCCTATATGGACTCTTCCACAGCAGTCTGAACGGCCAAATCAGATATTTCCACCCACCAAAAAAAGACTGATTGACACTTCCATATGTGGAGCTAAATGATTGTTTTCAGAGCGTCTGCAGTCAGAACTGTCCTCCTGAATTTAACTCGACCTTTATGTCACTGACCTGAAACATGCATCATGATTCTGCACCAGAAAGAACCAGACTGAACATAAAAATACAAATAAATCATAATTATGAATTTTGAAAGAAGTGTGCTCCACTGAAGCGCATCCTGAAGGAACCGCATTGGATCCTACTTCACATCCAGACAGACTTTTCAGAAACTGCAGTCGATGATCCACAAAAGCTCATCGCTGTTAGTTGTGCTTCTGTTTCTTTTGTCCATTATTTCAAACTAAACAGATCGCAGCTGCATCACACCTGAGTTCTTCTTCTGCGCATCTGAGTCGCTTTGGAGTCGTGAAACATTCACACAGAAGACTGATTTCAGCGAGAAAAAATCTGAATTGAGCATCAAGACCTGCTGTGTGAACACAGTCTATTTCTCCCATCACACTATTACAAAAACACCATCTGTGGTGGTGAAGGATGAGCCACGGCTCACCCTGAGACATCCTGCTTCTGAAAACATCTACAAGGCGCTGAGTGTCCTCTAGAGTTCAGCTCAATCCATCCAGACATGAAAGGAACAGGGCCACATTATGGCCACATTATGGCCATATCCTCACAACCCGAGAGACCAGAGAGGGAAGACTCCATGTCACCGGGACAACAACAGTTGGTTCTTCGCCAGTCAAATCTTCATGGGAGAGTGACAATGGGTAAGTTACCTTTGAAGAAAATTCAGACCGAGGCTTGACCAGAGTTTGCCCAGAGGCATGTGGGAGACGCCATGATGGAGGAAAGTTATTTGGTCTGATGAAACCAAAACAGAGCTTTTAGGCCATTAGACACAACCCAGATAGCATATGACGTTAAATCAACGTTGAATTAGTTAGAATCGTTGATATGTGATTGAAGTTGACAAATGATGGTGGATCAACCATCAAACAACCATCCAATCAAACCGTTGAAACTGTGACATTGAATCAACGTTGTTTGGTGGTTGAAATCTGATGTCTGAAATGCCGAAGTCTGATTAATGGTTGATTTTTGGTTGAAGACGACAAATGACGGTGGATCAACCAAACAACCATCCACCTCTAGCCAAGTAACCAATGTTGAAACTGTGTCATTGAATCAATGTTTTGTGGTTGAAATCTAATGACTGAAATGCTGATGTCTGATCAACATCTGATCAATATTGAATCAATGTCAGCTGTGTTGCCGCACCCCTTCCCTCCTCTCCTCCTCATCAGCGCTCTGGGTCAGAGGATTTTATTACTGAGCGGGGGTTATCACATTTAAATTAAGCACTGTAGAGGATAGTGGGTGGAGATTCCTTTCTGTACATTTTCTTACTTGTTCATAACAATTCTCACTGACTGTGTGTGTGATATATTGACACAAAAACATCTACAACTTACTACAAGGAGTGGAGGGGTCCACCCCCACCGTTTACATGAGTGGGATGTCCCAAACACACAGCTGCTTCGCTGTTGGCTTGTTGGCAAAAGATGTTAATTCAATGTTGAATTATAA